AGACGAAGGCATAGAAATAGTGTCAACCTTCGGTTACTCTGGATATTATGTATTCAGTTTCTGGACCAATGACCTGTATTATAAATTGGATAGAGCAACAACTCAATCCCACTGTGGCCACAATTTTAGTGTCATTGCCATATACTGAATTGCGCCATGAGATAACTTCTCCTGTACCTAGGAGTGATGAATCCTTTGTCTATCCACCATAGTCTTGATACACTCTTCGATGCAGCCAATCAGCATCGTGTTCACGGCTCTGAAAAGAACTGTGTTAGGCTAGTGTCAAACTGCACCAATCGGTGCACAAGGCGCTCCAGTGATCTCAAGTCTAAGGATCACATGCACCACCATTCGTTAGAGGATTTATTCCATAGACACTAGGGTTACCATCCATATGGAATCCTCTGGTGGGTTTGTCCAGTGAACTTGCTGCGGTGTTTTCGCCTATAGCAAGCACCCATGTGTTGCACTAGGTTGTCACAAAACAACCTTAACAAGTGAGATCAGTCACTGCCTTTCGATAGGGTCGTTCAACGCTATGATAGCCTAACCATATTATCTGTGCCCTTACTTCAGAATAATACTAGGGCTGCGGACGTTTCTAGAATGGCCACCATATGTGCTCATGGGTTCTCATTATCAAGATTTGAAACACTTGATACCCTCGTCACGGTTCTACCATTCTAAGGACATATATCAATACATATTGCAATAATAATGATTTATGCGATATAGAATAAAATGCCTTTTATTGATTAATGAACATTATTACAAAGAGTCAATTCTACAATAATTGATTGGCTCTAGGGCATCTAGTCTAACAAAATATTCCTTAAGAAGTGAGGTTTGTTCTTGGGGTTGCATGTTACATGTTAACTAGAATAGCACAGTAATTTACAAACTTCTCTTTCTTATAAAAAACATAAGGTTTTGGCTTAATATGTTTCTGTAAACACAATTATGATCCATGTTGACCTTTGACTTTACTGGGTTAGTTTGACCCGTTTTATCCTTGATCGGGTCAATTTGACCTATTGATCCAGTTTGATCGGGTCTTCTTTACCCGGTTTCTGTAACTTTTAAACCCATTTTCTGTAGTTTTGAATAGCCTGATTCTGGCCATTTTTTTTATGTTTTAGAGGGGAAACTTGAATGTTGATGTATGACCTATGTCGGCGGCACCCCAAATGACGTTTTTCGTCCCAAATCGGTGTTATAAATGTTGGAGTAGGTGCCCTAGAGCCAATCAATTATTGTAGAATTGACTCTTTGTAATAATGTTCATTAATCAATAATAAAAGGCATCTTATTCTATATCGCGTAAATCATTATTATTGCAATATGTATTGATATATGTCCTTAGAATGGTAGAACCGTGACATGGGTATCAAGTGTTTCAAATCTTGATAGTGAGAACCCTATGAGCACATATGTTGGCCATTCTAGAAACGTCNAACCCTAATCCACCATTGTAACCAAACACCCTTTAATTGGTATTTTGATTTTTAATTAATTATTATTATAATTAAAATCAATTAATATATATAAAATATATTAACATTTAATTTAATAATAATACATTTAAATATATGCGTACATATATTTCAATATAATCTCACTAATTTAATTTTAATATCAAATTAAATACAAGCAACAACCTTAGCAAATTTAATTACACTGTGAGATTACCAAAATACCCTTCTAAAAGTCGAGAATACCCCTTGTGTAATCTGATTCTTAAATTATTTTCTAAGTGTGTGACCCATAGGCTCCTTATCATATCGGCAGTGAGTAGTATTGCTATTAACACCAATTAATCGTCTCACTACACACAGACCAACATTGGGCCCTAGCAAGGCATCATGGCCACTAGATAGATTCAGATTTAGCAAAATAGCTTCTTATCAATGATATGGTTATCATGCAATTGAATCTTTTCATCATGTGTTATCACATCGAAACTAAGGTACAGAAATAGTGTGAACCTCGATTATCTCAATTTGTTTGTATTTAGTTACTGATTCAGGTTAAGTATGTTAGGACATAAATTCCAACTGAAAAAAAAAATCAAAAATATTTTCATGTCCATTTTCTCAATTGCAAACTTGAAATGGCACGATGGTTAAATTTCCTCACAAAAACACTTTTCTTACATGGCTTTGAGATCCTTATTTCGTTGGTCTTCAGTCTCTCAAAACCCATCTCTGAGAGGTAATATTTCATCTTTGTTAGCTCACTTACAAAACCTCACAACTTCAAACTCCAAAAATGAAGTTTTGTATTCTCTCTAAAAACCCCTTGAATGTTCCTCACTTGCTAAATTCCTTAAAGAAAATTTTCGATTGGGTAACTTTACTCTGAATGAAGCATTGTACTTTTTTTATTACATGATTAATTCACAACTCATTTCTCCAATTTCATCATTCACTACTTTGTTTAGTGCACTCACTAAGAAGCATTATTATGAAGTGATTTCACTTTATAAGCTATTGAATTCAATTGGGTTGTCTCCAGCTTTTATATCTTTGAACATTTTGATGAATTGTTTTTGTAATATTAAAAGGGTTTTAGATAGTTTTGAGGTTTTGGGGGGGATTTTGAAGAAGGGTTTCAACCCTAGTGCTGTGACTTTCAATTGTTTGATTAAAGGTCTGTGTGTAGAGAAAAAGATTATGGAGTCAATGGAATTGTTTTAGAAAATGGTTGTTGTTGGTTGTAGGCCTGATGTGATAACTTGCAACATTTTGATTGATGGATTATGTAAAACAGGGAAGATAAGTGTTGCCATTAAGTTGCTTGAAGAAATGGGTAAGGAGAATAAAGAATCTGGTGTTATTTGTAGGCCAGATGCTATTACTTATAGTACTGTAATTGATGGTCTTTGGTAAAGATGGATTAATTAAGGAAGCAAGAAAATTGTATTTGGAAATGAAAGGTTTGGGAATCAGTCCAAACGTTTATAGTTATAACATTTTAATGAATGGTTTTTGATTGGCAGATAGAATTGGTGGTGCAAGGGAGGTATTTGATTCTATAACTAGAAAGGGGTATAGCCCTAATGTTGTTTGCTACAATACTTTAATTAATTGGTAAGTCAACAAAGCTCTTTATCTTTATCGAAAGATGATTTCTGAAGGAATTAAGCCTAACGTGATAATTTATAACACTTTGTTAATTGACCTTTTTCTTAAAGCTAATGTAAAAGATGCACGGAATTTAGTTGGTAAGACGCGACTTAATGGTGTTTTACCTAATTCTTGGACATATAACATTTTCATTGATGGACTTTGCAAGAAGGGATGTGTTTTTGAAGTGGTGGAAATGCTTAACACTCTAGTAAATAATAAGTTTGCAATTAGCCTTGAAAGTTTGAATTCCCTCGTTGATGGATTATGTAAAATAGGGAGATTCAAAATTGCTTGGGACTTATTTCAAGATTTTTCTCTTTGTGAAAACCTAGTGCCAAACATTGTAACATACAGCATTTTGATCAATGGGCTTTGTAAAACTGGACAACTAGAAAAGGCAAATAAGTTGTTGTCATATATGGAGGAAAAAGGTTGTGCTCCAAATGTAGTCACATTTACTATGCTCATATTTGGTTTCCTCAAGAATAATGAGATACCAAAAGTCGTTGATCTCCTTCGTAAGATGGCTAAGAGAAATGTGAAGCCGATTGAATGTATAGTGTCCTTAGTCATATAGTTACTAATGAAGGCCGAAAATTATCATGAATGTTTGAACTAACTTCCTCAATTTTCGGTCTAAAACCGAAATTGAAGTTAACGTGATAAAACTTTAGTGAGTATTAAACTTTTTTTGGAGCAGAATCTTGCGAAAGTTCATCCAGCTGCCCAATTGCTCTATTTTGGTTACAATAAGAAGAAGGTTCAATAAACACTTTCATCTGTTTGATTTTGATAGGGATGGTAATGGGGATGATTAAGAATGATGGCTTCCCTAATTAGACATATGACACGTGATCTGTCTCTATTGTAAGTGCATATAGTAGAGGTGGCAGCAGGCTATGTCAGCATTTGCACATGAAGTGGGTCTTAAGGGTTTGAGGATTATTTTTGGTGCAAATTTTATTAAGCAAAAGTTGTAAATGAGAAATTATGGAATGGTTCTTACTTCAACTATGACAATAATGATAGCCACTCAAGTTCATCTATTAAAGCTGATTAGTTTACTAGATGATGGTATGTTGCAACTGATTAACTTCATTCATTGATATTCTCAAATATCCATGCCAAATAAGTGTTGATTTATTTATAATGTTTCACGTGTTTCTTTTTCTCAATATGTATTTTTGTTTAGTTCAAATCTGATAAGACTAGAACTTACCAGCTGCGTCTCTAATGTACTTATGAATGAGCATGTGTTCTTTCAATGATTGTTGATGAAGACAAAGCAAGAAGAGCATTACAGAAGGTTTTTAACTATAATGTCTTAAAAGAATATGGATGTAGAGTAGGGGCCAGTCAATGGGATCTACCTATTAGAATAGTTAACATGACAACATTGCAGTCAAGAGAAATATGGTTTGGTGTTACATATGTAGTTGCTGTAACGATGATCCATGAAGATATGGTTACTATGGGATTTCAAAATGCCATCGAAATCTATGAAGCAACCTAGTCTAAAAATGGACTATCACCCTAAGTTTATCAAACGGTGTTATCTTGTTGCTTAGTTAATAGGCTGTTAACTCAGCTATGAGTTTGTGTTTTTCAAATCTAAATCTATCTCAAATTTGTATAGATTTCATTGCAGCATCTGTTTAGTCCATTCATTTAATTATTTTTTTTATTATTATTTTTTTGGTGGATGTGTCGTTTAACCATTTTCTAGTAGATTCTTGATGTTGTGTAATGTTGGACAAAATTCTGGTAGTTATAATGTCTAGTAGATAATATTTTTGCTCCTTAGGTGATAGAGGAGGAGAAGAATAAAAAAGATAGATAATATAGGATTCTATATAAGGAGATAGAGAGAAATTAATAGGTTGAGAGGAGAAATCAAGAAAGGGATGCCAAGGACTCAAATAATCATCCTAAAATGTAGAAGATAAGGACTAAATACACATTTGCATCCTTACTATATGTTCTACATCATTGGGTTACTACCTTTAGGATAATTTTTGGTCGATTACAATTGGAAACTTTACACTCTACATAATTTACACTGATAATTACTCTAGAACTATTTGTTCCTGATAATTCACTGACTCGTTGTTGTTTTCTGCATAGTTATTCTCTCTAAACTCTTAAAGCTTGGACTAGTGTTGATTGTTTTAGAGCGCTAAGTTACATGCATTCGTTGGCCATATGGGCAATTCCATGGGCTCTAACAGGGCCAAAACCTTGTAAGAATGAGATGAAACCAAAAGTAAATGAACAATCTCTGTATAGATATCATGCAGGATTTTGCAAAGTTGCTTTCCTTCTAAAGGTATCGGATGAGAAAACGCTTAAAGATCTTTTACAGTCACTCTTTTATTACACTTGCAAGAAGATATGTCCATAATTAATTGGTTCTTGTAACTTATTACTGTCATTCAATTTTTTGTACAGTAATGAGTTGTATTGTATAAGAAAACATTTGAAATGCTTATGTAAATTATCATGTTCTACTATTAGTTATCCAATTCTTGAAACTGTTTTTAGAATTTAGTTTTGATGGATATGATTGTTTCCAAATTTTTGGTAAACAAGTTTATGCAGTGTATGGCGGGCTGGAAGCACAGTTTGTGCAGTGATTAGTGGGCTAGTAATGCAGGTTATGCTTTTGTAGTTTGTGTATTGTGAAAAGTGTTGTTTGCAAGCTTGTGTTTGGAGTTGTCATCTATTTGTAACTCTTTTTGCAGCTTCTGGGAGTTCTCCAGTAGTCTGCATAGTGTTCGGCTTGTTGGAGAATTGTTCGGGCAGGCTGGAGTGGTAGCAGCAGTTATTTAAGTGCTGCATACTTTGCTTTTTGCTGCTACAGAAGCTATTTTTATGTAGTCCTTTGCTGCTTGTTTGCTGTTGCTAGGAGAAAGTGACAGGCTAGGTTGTGTCTTGTTTCTCTTGCTAGTTCTATTTTATAAGGGCTCTCAAGTTTGTAGAATTTGGTTTTTTTGTGTTTTGTTGCTTTTGTGTATAAGGATTGTACATCCTTGGCTTCTTTTGTTTCTTTTTGAGTGTCCAAGGTTCTCAACGCTAAAGGGGAATTCCCTTTTTAGGTTGTAATTCCTTATTCTTTTGTAAATTACCAAGTTTACGCAAAAAATAATAAAAAAAAATATTGCATGCAATCAGGGTCATAACAGTGATTACAATGTTATATAGGAAGCACATTAATAACATAAATCATTTACTAAGATGGGTGTATGAGTGACTGTCTAATCATTTGATATGTGTTGATCGTATATGTTAATATGTAGTGTACATTGTAGATAAGCTAATGTGGAACATTACAATAGTAGCATAAAGACTTTGAAGACATCAGTTAATTCCTTTGAGGTTTACTAATTACATAAATTCTCTTAAGATTTTTGAAATAATAAAATTCCCCTTATTATTAATAAATTATTAGTTTCCTAGAACATATATCTAAAAATTGCCCTCATTCTATTATTTTAACCCTTATAATTTAGGTAGGGATTTTTATTTTTTCACAAATTAGATTATTTTTATTATATCAAACCTCACGGCCCTCTATTATATGAGTTAGTAATCATGATGAAACTATGCATAATATTATTTTAGTAATATATATATTTCAGCAATATAATTAGTTTGATATTTTTGTTATTATGATAACGAAACATTATCATATAACTTCTAAAAAGTAAAAAACAATATCCCTTGAATTTTTAATATATCACATTCAACTATGTGAAACATCAATTTTGGTATATTTAAAATTTTGAAGAAAAAATAGAAAAATAAAATATTTTTAATATCAATGCTTGACATAAGTTTGCAATTTTGAAAAGAGTAAACAACTTTTCCCACCCAAGGTTTACCTTAATGACACTTTCCCACCCAAGAAGTTTAAAAATATGACTTTCCCACCCAATGTTTATATTCTGTTTTGCTACCCACAATAAACTTTTCGATTCGATAGGCAACTGAGAGAAAACTCAATCTAAGCTATTGGGGCTTTTAAAGAGGGGATGCTGATGAGTCTTTTGGTGGTGGTAGTTTGGATTTTGGTGGTCGAATTTGGTCGAAATCTGACTTGGGAGGGGCAGCTGTGTGTTTTAAAAATCTTTTGATTGCCAGCGATTGACAGGGTCGACAAGAGCAGAGTTTGAGGGATTTTGGTGAGTGATAATCGGGAAAGGGAATAATGGTGGTGTTGGGTCGTAAAGATGTTAGAATCGGCAGACGATTATCTGTTAGTAAATCGATGATATACAGCAACAGAAAAATAGAAAAAATTGTTCATCGATTACTATTATTGCCAAGATTAGGGTATGATGAATATATGTTTTACGTGCTTATAATCAAAACAATATAAAATCCATACAAGGATTAGTTTATACCTGCATTTGAAGGCTCTTTATCTTTATTGAAAGAGATTTCAAAAGGAATTAGGCCTACAGTTATTACATATAACCTTGTTAATTGGTCTTTTTCTTAAAGCCAAAGTAAAAGATGCAGAGAAATTAGTTGATGAGATGCAACTTAATGGTGTTGTGGCTAATTTTTGACATATAGCATTTTCTTGATGGACTTTGCAAGAATAGATGTGTTTTGAAGCGGTGGAAATATTTAAAATAAGTCTGCATTTAATCTTGAAAGCTTGAATTCCTTCATCGATGGATTGTGTAAAACCTGGAGATTCAAAACTGTATGGGATCTATTTCAAAAACTTTCTCTTCATGAAAAACTAGTGCTAGACGTTGTAACATGAAGCTTGTAGAAAAGTTATGAGCAATATTTGTACTTTATGTTGGCCTAATTCCATTGTTATTCATGCTTTATCATCAAGTGACTATGAATGAATTTTAAAGGAAAGGTAATTTCATCAAATTTGACACTCTGGGCTATGTAGAGCTTACCTGTTGCACTTAAGCACTTATAGCCTTTGTGTATTAAGTTGTATCGCATAAATTTGCAATAAGCAGGATGAAACTGAAACTTCTGAATGTTTTGGGGTCTCAAGTAAAGGTAGCATGCACAGCCAAATATCTTTAAGTCTTTTAGAGCATCTCCAAATGACTCTTTATATGAGTCAAACTCTTTATTATAAAGAGTTAATGCATAAAAACAAGAGTCCAATAGACTCTTTATCCTTTAAATATAAAATAAAGAGTGAGTTTGGCTCACCACATCTAGAGAGTCAAATTTCACTCTCTATCATAATTTTAATTAATTAAATTACAAGTTTCAATATATTTTATTTATTAATTCTCTCTCCTATTAAGTTTTTTTTTATTGAAAAAATGTTTTTCCTCCCCCCACAATGGTCTTTTGAGTTATCTATATATTCATGTTCTGTTTTCTTTTCTCTAAAACATGAATTTTCAAGCTGGCAGTGATGGAAATTTGTATATTGGTTCCACTGAAAATCCTCAATTTTCAACCCAACTTTCAAACTCTGATGATATATCTATTTTCACCAATACTGAAGAATCTCATTTATCTACTCCAGTTGAATCTAACTCTAAAAGATCACATGGCGGCAACTTCACTGCAGAAGAGGATCTTCTCATTGTGTCAGCATGGCTTAATACCAGTTTAGATGCTGTGCAAGGAAATGAACAAAAACACAAAACATATTGGGCACGATTGTTGGAGTACTTCCATAAATACAAAAATTTTGAATCTGAACGTACAGAAGTTTCTTTGATAAACCATTGGTCAACAATTCAATTAGCTACAAACAAATTTTGTAGATGCTATGTTCAAGTTGAATCAAGAAACCAAAGTGGCGTCAATGAGCAAGACAAGGTATTTATTATTTTATATTTTAGAAATATATTTATATTATTGCATACCTTTTTAGTTTGTATTTTTTTTCTTTTCCAGATTGCTAATGCAAAATTCCTATACCCAGAACTAAATAAAGGTAAATTCCAATTTGAGCATTTTTGGAATATATTGAGACTTCAGCCGAAATGGAAGGAAGATTGCCAAAAGAAAAAACCGATAAAAAAGAAAGACAAAAGTCCTACTCCTACATCAGAGACTCAAGTGAATTTTAGAGATGACAACATTACAAGTCCTGACTTTGTGGACATAAAGAGACCACTTGGAAGGAAAGCTAAAAAAGACAGAAAGAAAAGGAAGGGCAAAGATATGGAAAATGACTCAACAGGTTCATATGTGAACTTATTACAAGAAATGAGAGACGAAAAGAGGCAATTCAATGAAAAGAAATTAGAATTATTTGAAAAGGCTTTTATTCAAGGATAAGANTTTTAAGCCACCTTCAAGCAATATAATTCTGGACAGTTTGTCCTTTATAAGACAAGCATTAGAAGAAAAGTCAACTATTACTTCATTACCTCTTGTAAACATTGAAATATTAGTAACTTGTTTTTGTAATAGATGGCTCATACAACATATTCTTGAGAAAAATTTAGCTGCCCGGTCATCCCAAGTTTCTATTTAAGAAATTGGCCTTGAAACTGTTCATCATTTTTTTTTAATTTAGAGAAGATGACATGGCATAGTTAGGATTAATTAAACACATAAAATGGGTTAAAATGAAAAGATTAAAACATAACTGGGCAGAATCAGAAATAATGAAAGTTTTTAAAATTTGAAATTTCGCAAAACAAGCCCCACTAACTATTCACCTCGCTTAATCGAAATTCATTAGTTCAAAAAGCGATTTCTTAAACGAAAAGGAGACGCGATTTTTTCCGATCGAACACCTGCAAATTTGCACCCTAAATCAATTTCTTGAACCCTAAACCGAATACAGTTGTCATTTTTGGCGATATAGTCGCGATTTTCGATCGATTTGTTGAACCCTAAAATCGATTTACTTAACCTTAAACGAAATCTGTGCCATTTCCGGCAATACAGTCCACATTTCCGATCGAAACTGCAAACTTTGACACCAAATTCAATCCAAAACCATGACTGACACTGACAATGAGGAGGGAAGCCCAACGCCACTTCGAATCCTAGATTTCGGTGGCGCAAGCAGTTCAATGGCTGCTCCGGTGGATCATCCGACCAGTGAAGGTGGTCCACACGTAGAGGAGACACCGGCGACACAAGAACAGAGGGAAGAACTGGCAAACGGGTCTGAAGACGAGGAGTCAGGCGAGAATTCAGGCCAGGAGGAGGATTCCGGCGAGAATTCAGGCCAGGAGGAGTCGTCGGAGGATCCAGNGCAAGAAAAGCTGCAATTAGAACAAATGAAGGAGGATGAAAGGATAATGGCTATAGATCCAGCTGCGATGCCTCAAATGCTTGCAATTTTTTATATTCAACATCAAAAAGAAATCAGTGAAAGGAGATCTAAAAATTGCTAAATTTTAGTTTTGGTTATTGAAGCTTTGTTATGCTTATTAGTAAAAAAAAATGTCAGTTTTGGTGGTTGAAGCTCTGTTGATGTTGTGGTGGTTTTGCTTTTTAGTTTCTTTCAGGTCTATTTCTACAGTTTTCTTGCTGCTTTGTTGTTTCTCTTTCAATCATGCTATAACTCTTGGTCAATTTGCTTTGGCCTTTTTTATAAAGTTTGTTTTTTCAATCATGTTGTAACTCTTGGTCAAATTTGCTTTGGCCTTTTTTAGAAAGTTTGTTTGTTTGCTTGCAAAAAATAAATAAATAAATAAATAAAATAAAATAATAATAATAATCTCTTCTACATACAGCAAATTTAGGCACTAAAAGCAGATTGAATACACTAGCAACATGCCACAAAACCAACCTATGTTGCAAACACTATTAGCACGAAACTAAAAAGTTACATATGACTTCCATGTAATTTCCATATATGCTCGATTAGGTCTTGCTGTAGTTGAGAATGAATATCTCTATCCCTAATGCGACGATGACATTGAACAAATTCCAAAAGCTTTGCCGTATGCTCGTGCGAAATTGATATGTCTGGATTGACATCAAATGCATCATAATTATAATCTAAATTTTTAACACGTCTTTCTTCTTCAACAATCATATTGTGTAATATGATGCAAGCTTTCATAATGTCCTTTAGAGTTTCACGATACCACAAACGTCCTGGTCCACGCAAATCTTGCTTACAACACTCCAAATGCTCGTTCAACATCTTTTCTTGCTGACTCTTGAGCTGCAGCAAATTGTTTGTGTTTATGACTTTGTGGAAATGGAATTGTTTTCACAAATTTTGACCATGAAGGATAAATACCATCAGCAAGGTAGTATCCCATTGTATAGTCATGACCATTGATTGAATAGTTAGCTGGTGGAGCTCGTCCTTAAGCAAGTTCTGTAAATAAAAAAGATCGTTCTAAAATATTTATGTCATTATGTGATCATGGTAGTCCAAAGAATGCATGCCATATCCAAGGAATAATGATCATATGAAGCTATAGTTTCAAGAACTATAGTTGGTTAACGAACATGGCTAACATACATCCCCTTCCAAGCAACTAGACAATTTTTCCATTTCCAATGCATACAGTCAATACTTCCTAACATTCCAGGAAACCCACGACTATCACCTTCTTTTAACAATCTATCAATATCAATTGTGTTTGGAGACCTCATTTACTTCTCCGAAAAAATAGAAACTATTGCTTTAACAAATTTTTTAAGACTTTCAACTGTAGTGCTTTCACCAATCCTTACATATTCATCAACATAATCTGCTGCAACTCCATATGCAAGCATCCTTAATGCAGCAGTTGTAACAACTGCTGAAAACTAGTACAATGCATGCATAAATACAATATAAAATTGGGCCCCAAAAATTTTTCTTTTCATTAGAAATCATATGTCTTTTATACACAAAGATTACTGTTTACAAAAGTGCAGTTTAAAAGACAAAACAGGGGAAACAGTGTAGCTATTCCTCTTCGCTTGCCGACGCCCCTCCGACTGCGTCATCACCTAGAACCTGCATCCACAAAGGAAAATAACGGGGTGAGCACAAAATAATGCTCAGTAAGTAAAACTCTCTATCTGTCTGTCCCCGTAAGAATAACTCTTAATTCTTTCCTTTCTAATTCGTTTCTGTTTCTACTAAATCACCTGTCCTCATCTTACCGAGGTACGCCGGATGGCGTTCACGCAGCACCATCTCGCTCTCTATGGCTATCGTGGAATCACAAAGTGCCAACCCGTTCTTAGTGACTACCGATGAGGATCCAACACACACCACTCGATTCTTCTTAACTATCGGGTGGAGATCACCTAGCACCTCTGCCCGTTCCTCTGAATTTTGGGTACGTTCACCAAGCATTTACCCGTCTCTAGTCACTATCGGATGATCACAAGCATCAACCCGTTTCTACTAACTGTTGGATGATAGCACAAAGCATCAACCCATTCTAACAACTAATCGGATATGACACAAAGCATCTACCCCATTTCTATTACTCATTGGGTGACGATCACAAAGCACGACCCATCTCTAAGGGCTATTCATGATGATCACAAGCATCAATCCGATTCCCAACGTCGGTGATGATCACAAAGCATCATCCCAACTATCTACTCTTCTAATTCATTCTATTGTAGTTTCTCATGCTCTCTCCTTAGAGTAGTTGCCCCACCAGCTCTCTACTCATAGGGTAATTACATACACAATTCTCTTACACTTTCTTAGGTCACTTTCCATATACAACTAGTGCCTATGGATGGTTCAACTTCACCAATGCACTATGATATGCCAACATGCAATGTTGCAAGAATAAGTCATTACCACACTCAACCTCTATAGGCATTTCATCAAACAACTCATGTGCACTATAAAACTCTATCATAGCCATGATTCTAAAACTTTTCTTAACCTCCAAAATGGGGAAAAACCCCTTCACAAGCCATGAAAACCTGTCAAACAAGACACTTCCAAAAAGGGTTCATACACCCCTTCAAATCCATCTCAACTACCTTGTCAACCCAACAACCATTTCTCATATTTACAGGTATTAACATTCACAAGCAGAAATCTCCATTTATACTCCATATGGCATATTACATGCACATCACATACATACATCATTTCATCAAAACCCTAATCAGAAATTTCATGAATCTCAACTTGGGTGGGTTTTACTACCTTGTTATAGAGAGACTTCACAAATTCTTCCTTTCACTTGTTTAGCTTGACTTTCCCTCTAATCTAACCAAAGAATGAAAACCCTCAACATTCATATGGGTTAAACTCCCAAATCATACACTTAAGTGAGATTCTTACCTTAGGAAGCCTTAGGTTGCTTTTCTACCTCAAATCACCAAAAACCCCTTGGAATCCTTGATCAAAGAGAAGAAAAGTTGGAGGAGTGGAGATGAAGTTGCGTTTGGAAGAAGAAATGAGGGGTTTTTTCTGATTCTAATTCCTTTTAATGAAATATATAACAAAGCATTCCCATTTTGCCTTACTCTTCTTTGGGAATTCCATCTATCTTTGATTCATTACAAACCTCACCCCCATATCAACACATTCTCCATGAAAAATCCTTACAATTAACTCCCCACTTTTCCTGCTATTAGGGGTAGAAAGGTTAAATTGCCCTTAGGAAAATATCTAAAACTCCAACCAACATGAAAATCGGCCGTCCGCGCGCGAAGAAACTTATGTCGCCGCGGCGAACCGTCCAAGAAGTTTCCGGTGGTTTCAACACATCTTCGCCGCGGCAAGATTCTTCTTCGCCCCGGTGAAGCTCGGCATATTACACTTCCATTTTAACCCATTTCAAGGCAATTAATCCACACAACACCCATACTAATGAAAATCAAACATTTACCAAACAACTCAAATGAGGCGAAAGAGGAAACAATAACAACGTACCTCAAGCGGGGCGTTACAGCAGTGATCTTTTGGAGAGAAAGACAACCCAAAAACCAATAGCATCCCTTTTCTGAACAAAATATGGGCCATGAGCTTCTACAGCAGATTGAATACGAAGAAAAGAGATTGACTCATTTGAAACCTCCTTCGAAATAATTTGGAGAATGCACAGGATTTTCTCCAAATAGTCATTAAAAGCTGTGATGCCCATACTCTATCATCCATATATAGGCATGACCATAACAGAAACTGCAATGTAGTGATGTCCTCCTTCTTTTTTAAGCAACTCTTCTATGGCATATTGTCATCTCCAAATCATCATCTGAATCGGAATACTCAAGAATAACATTGACTAAACGGGTAGAAAGCATGCGTAATGGAAAGGAAAAGGTGGAAAGATTGTGCAGGAGAAATGGAATTGATCAATTGAATATTAAGAATAGTTTAACTTACAAAGAAAATG